ACTAAACCAGGACTAAACCAGGACTAAACCAGGAGGTCTAAACCAGGACTAAACCAGGACTAAACCAGGACTGAACCAGGACTCTAAACCAGGACTGGACTAAACCAGGACTAAAACTAGGACTGAACCAGGACTGAACCAGGTGAAACCAGGACTAAACCAGGACTGAACCAGGACTGAACCAGGACTAAACCAGGACTAAACCAGGACTAAACCAGGACTAAACCAGGACTGAACCAGGACTGAACCAGGTCTAAACCAGGACTGAAACCAGGACTGAACCAGGACTCTAAACCAGGACTGAACCAGGACTGAACCAGGACTGGACTAACCACCAGGACTGAACCAGGTCTAAACCAGGACTGAACCAGGACTGAACCAGGACTGAACCAGGTCTGAACCAGGACTGAACCAGGACTAAACCAGGACTGAACCAGGACTCTGGGCTCTGAGCTGCTCACAGTAACAGGATGAGGTAAATGACACTTTAGTCCCGCACACGTGCAGCTCCCACAGCATGTGAGCTCCTACAAAATAAAACCCATCAGCATGTGAGCTCCTACAAAATAAAACCCACAGCTAAAAATAAAACCCATCAGCTCCTACAAATAAAACCCATCAGCATGTGAGCTCCTACAAAATAAAACCCATCAGCATGTGAGCTCCTACAAAATAAAACCCATCAGCATGTGAGCTCCTACAAAATAAAACCCATCAGCATGTGAGCTCCTACAAAATAAAACCCATCAGCATGTGAACCAGGTTTGTTTTCAAAATAAAACAGACCTGTGTTCTAAATCAGTACAGATGTTTTTGGGAATCAAACCCAAGACTTTATCATTTTGTGGCAACGAGACAAAACTAGTGTCCTTTAAAAACCTGAAACAATTAGACTAACGAAAACTAACTATTTTATAACTAGTTTAGTTCTGGTTTAGTCCTGGTTTAGTCTAGTCATGGTTTAGTCTTGGTTTAGAGCTGGTTTTAGTCCTGGTTCATTCCTGGTTTATCTTTGGTTTAGACCTAGTTTAGTCCTGGTTTAGTCCTGGTTTAGTCTATGGTTTACTCTTAGTTTAGTCCTGGTTTAGTTTAGACCTGGATTCGTCTTGGTTTAGTCCTGGTTTAGACCTGGTTTAGACCTGGTTTAGTCCTGGATTAGTCCTCGTTTAGACTTAGTTTAGACCTGATTTAGTCCTGGTTTAGTCCTTGTTTAGACCTAGTTTAGACCTGGACCTGATTTAATCCTCGTTTAGACCCAAATAAATCCTAGTTTAGTCCTGGTTTAGTTTATTCTTGGTTTAGTTAAGTCATTGTTTAGACCTAGTTTAGACCTGATTTAGTCCTGGTTTAGTCCTTGTTTAGACCTAGTTTAGACCTGATTTAGTCCTGGTTTAGTCCTGGTTTAGTTTAGTCCTGGTTTAGTCCTTGTTTAGACCTAGTTTAGACCTGATTTAGTCCTGGTTTAGTCCTGGTTTAGTCCTGGTTTAGTCCTGGTTTAGTCCTCGGTCTCTTGTGCGCGGTCCTTTCGGGTCAAATGCGGCTGGACTCGTTCGTCTTGATTCAGTTTTTGTGGGTCAATCGCGGGACGAACCGTGCGGACCAGAGCCGCGTCTTTGGCCCGGGAGGAGCCTCTTTCCTGCGGCCGGGTTCCGGACTCCTCCGCCCGGGCTCAGGACGCACTGCAGCCCGCGGTTCGTCTCATTTCCCGCGGGTGAAAATGTGCCGCTCTTTACGCACCTTACGCACTTACATAACGACGCCTGAGCCACTTAACGCAAATCCCCGCCGCTTCATCTGCGCGCGCACGCCAAGGTTTCCACTTTTACCGCGGCGATTCGTCTTTCCTTCGGTTTATAAACGCGACGTGTTTCGTTGCAGCGATGCCAAACGCGCCCAGAGCGGAAATCATACCGTTACCGTTGTCAGGTGCGTTCGTTCGTATTTACGCATTTTACGCACGAGTGTCGCGTGTTCGGGGTGTTTTTTTGGGGTTGGATTTGGAGGATTTGAAGGATCTGGAGGATCTGGAGGATCTAGAGGATCTAGAGGATCTGGAGGAGTCTCACCTTCCAGCGCAGCCAGGAGGAAAAACGTAACGAGCAGCGTCCCCATCGCGTCCACAGATCTGCGCCGTAACCTTGAGACGAGCGAAATGTTGTACCGGAGGAGAGAGAGAGAGAGAGAGAGGAGAGAGAGAGAGATGGAGGGATGGAGGAGGAGGAGGAGGAGGAGGAGGGGCCAGGAGAGAGGTGTGTGAGCGCGCGTGAGGCTGTGCGCGTGCCGGGGCAGTGTCAGGTGACCGAGGACAGAGTAAAGCCTCAAAACACTGCAGCACCTGAACACAGCACAACACAGAAAAACACAAAAACATCCAAGATATATTTAATAAAGCCTCGATTTTTACAGTTTATATGAATTTTAAACTAAATTGTCTTTAAAAAGTTACTGTATATTTATATATGAGTATTTTTATAAGAGTTGTAGAAATGCACATTTTTCCTTTATAAATGTTTGACAAGATTTTAGTGTGAATCTTTACATCAAAAGAGAAAAATTCATATTTAAAGTGTTTAATAACAGTTTTGTCGTGATGTCTGCACGGAAATAGAAGGATCATGTTCTATGTAGGACCCGTTTTATTACTGTATTTACTTATATATACTTATATTATTACTTTATATTACTTTATATTACTTTTATATTACTGTTACATATTACTTTATATTACTATATTACTTACTATTACTATATTACTCTATATGTTACTGCATATTACTTTATGTTACTGCATATTACTTTATATTACTGCATATTACTTTACTTATTACTATACTTACTATATTACTTATATTTACTGCATATTACTTTATATTACTGCATATTACTTTATATTACTTATTACTATGTTACTGCATATTACTTTATATTACTACATATATTACTGCATATTACTTTATACTGTTACTTTATGCATATTACTTTATATTACTGCATATTACTTTATATTACTACATATTACTTATGTTACTGCATATTACTTTATGTTACTGCATATTACTTTATATTACTGCATATTACTTTATGTTACTGCATATTACTTTGTTACTGCATATTACTTTACTGCATATTACTTTATATTACTGCATATTACTTTATGTTACTGCATATTACTTTATATTACTGCATATTACTTTATGTTACTGCATATTACTTTATCTGCATATTACTGTATTACTGTACTTTTGAGTATCACAGTACTTCAGTTCCATCCAAAGTACCTGTTAAAAGTCCCAGTGGCTGAATTACACCACCTGGATCTCACTACTCCTTTTCTAATCACTGTATTGACCCTCAGAAAATCACTCAGCTTTAAAGACACAATGCAAATAAGTCTGACTACACTCAAAAAGATCACATAGCTTTAAAACCACAATGCATGTTCAAAAATATCATTTACTACACTCAAAAAGATCATTTCTTCAATAACACAAGGTAAATATCTTACTACACTCAAAAAGATCACTTAACTTTAAGAAACACCATACAGGTAACTTTAACAACTCTTAAAGTATCACCTGGGGAACACTTACAACTTCACTTAGCTTTAGAAACCACCTATGACCCTATGATACTCTGTTCTCTATCTGACAACATTTGCCCAAAACACATTTTTAACAGTACCTCAAAGAATTTAACCAGATTTAGTTTTATACCAAAACATTGCAAATATTAATTTATCCTTAGCAGTGCCTCAAAACCTTTAACCAAATTTAGATTTGCATCAAAAACATTGCATTTTTGTAAGTAACTCACCTAGGATGACTTGACTTGCTCGTAGTAAAATATATATATATATATTTATATAATAATTGAGGGAAAGACTCAACAAAAGATTCCAACAAGTGATTTGTCTTTGTCTTATTTTATCTGCTTTTTATTGTATTTTTACCAGAAAACTCATACAAAAATAATTAGGACAAATCACCTTGCAAATACCTTTTGGAGAAATTACCCTGTGACCAGGAAAGATATAAAGCACAGCCTAGTCCCAATTAGAGATCTGACCTCCTTAGCCGAGTTACAGCCGGAGGGTCAATGCCAACCAAAAATCAGGATCTGAGTTATTATGCGGAATTTTCAATATTTATCTAGGGTCACAGGGCTCCACCCAGGTACATGCAGAGTGATCAGTACGTCACAGATAACACACATTTTTTCAAGTACAGGCAACACTTCTTAGAAACCACAGTCTTCACCGTTCTAGCCCCCAACGCCTCTGCCCCAGCCAGGTGTGAAGTAAAGGCCACCTCGCTTCGTCGAAGGAGCAGGAAGCTTCGCATCCGCCTGCATACAGGCCCCTCCCACACGCCGCAGAACATACAGGTTTCGTACATCAATGTCAAATAAAGGTCAACTGTCAAAAGAACAGAAGGCCCTTATCTTTCCTGCACACAAACATAACGGTTACAGAAATTATTGCAAAATAACCTAAACTTAAAAATTAAATTGAAAGAATTAAGCAAATCAATATAAAGGAAACAAATCAGATTAAATCAAAGTAAAACAAGTAACTCAGGGTAATATGGGTCACAAAAGCACTTCTAATATCTAAATCAAACACTCCTAATCTCTAATGCTCTAACAGTTATTCAATTATCAAAATAAAACATCATGAACATCTTCATCTGAATTCAGGAGCCCTTTTAGTGGGGCTTACGCCAAAACCTTCATCCTTTTACCCCACCCAAGTGACTCTCCTGTGGCCGAGGGGGGGTTCACGACATCCACAAACAGAAGTGAGAGAAACACGTTCCAGTTTATTTCTGTAAAATTAAACTCTGCATTTTTAACAGAAAAGAAAAGTATTTTACAAAAACGAAACCAGGACTAGACCAGGACTAAACCAGGACTAGACCAGGACTAAACTAGGACTAGAACAGGACTAGACCAGGAATAAACCAGGACTAAACCAGATTATAAAAACATTCAGACAAACATGATTCGTTTGTTGTTTGTTTATTTGTAATTTACTGTTTATAAAATGTTCAGTGTTTGTTTGGAGCAGCACACGGGGACGTGTACTCTGTCTCTGCCTCGTCACCTGAACACAACAAAAATACACACATTAGTACTTCTACTCCATGAAAAGTACACAGTATTCAGAGTATTGCAGTAGTGTAGTATTGTAGTACTTGGTTGGTAGTAGTCGTAGATTCTGACCACAGCAGGTTTGAGGCTCTGGACCTGAATTTCCTCAACCAGACGCAGACGGAAGGACACGGGCACATCTTTAGACAACTGTAAGACAAAGACCAGGACTAGACCAGGACTAGACCAGGACTAGACCAGAACTAGACCAGACTAGACTAGACCACTAGACCAGGACTAGACTAGACAGACCAGGACTAGACCAGGACTAGACCAGGACTAGACAGGACTAGGACTAGACTAGACAGGACTAGACCAGGACTAGACCAGGACACTAGACCAGACTAGACCAGACTAGACCAGACTAGACCAGACTAGACCAGGACTAGACCAGACTAGACCAGACTAGACCAGACTAGACCAGGACTAGACCAGACCAGGACTAGACCACTAGACCAGGACTAGACCAGGACTAGACCAGCACTAGACCAGAACTAGACCAGAACTAGACCAGGACTAGACCAGGACTAGACCAGGACTAGACTAGACCAGGACTAGACCAGGACTAGACCAGGACTAGACTAGACCAGGACTAGACCAGGACTAGACCAGGACTAGACCAGAACTAGACCAGGACTAGACTAGACCAGGACTAGACCAGGACTAGACCAGGACTAGACCAGGACTAGACTAGACCAGGACTAGACCAGGACTAGACCAGAACTAGACCAGAACTAGACCAGACTAGACTAGACCAGACTAGGACTAGACTAGACCGGACTAGACCGACTAGACCAGGACTAGACCGGGACTAGGACCAGGGACTAGACCAGACTAGACCAGGACTAGACCAGGACTAGACCAGGACTAGACCAGACTAGACCAGACTAGACCAGGACTAGACCAGGACTACCAGGACTAGACCAGACTAGACCAGGGACTAGACTAGACCGGACTAGACCGGGACTAGACCAGGACTAGACCAGAACTAGACTGGACCAGGACTAGACTAGACTAGGGGACTAGACCAGACTAGACCAGGACTAGACCAGGTCTAACCGGACTGGACCGGGACTGGACCGGGACTGGACCGGGACTAGACCGGGACTAGACCGGGACTAGACCGGGACTAGAGTAGATAAGTGGTTTTAAAGTGACCTCTTTGATGTAGAGGAGGATGTGATCTTTGTCCTGCTCCACTCGGTCGACTCCAGACTCAAACTCCAGCTGAGAAAAAAAAAAAACACAAATCCAACATTTATATTTTAACTGAAAAACTGCATTAAGCCTATAGGACCCGAAGTCTCGCAGCTTTATTGATTTCTTTTTATTATTTGGGCTGATTGGACCTGATGAGGCAATCGGACTATAAGAGGCACAGGATTGTAAAGCTCAATATCAATAATGTTGAATTCTCTCGTCTTTTTTCAAACATAAATCACACCGGATTATAAGGAGCATTAAGAGAAACAAACAGACGACACTTGAGTCTGATCCTTAGTCGACTCCTCGATCCATGGGCAGGTCATGGTGTAATTCGCCCGGCGGCGTTTCTCTGTCTTGGTGAATGTGTTTTATGAATGTGAATGTGGGTGGATCATTTAAGTTTGTTTTTGTTTTTCCTACGAGGACGACTCAAATATACATTGATCATGTGTTTAATGCAGCTTTGACACATTTGTTTATGTTTTACAGAAACGAAACTTAAAACCACATGACTCATTTGCATAAACTAAGTGTTGATAAAAACAGCTCTTTCCTCGTGCCCTGATGTGGTTCAGTTTGTGTCGGACTAAAGGACACAGTGACTCAGTGGAATATGAGTGTTCTTTCTGTGACAGAGGGGTGTTCTGCTGATGGTGAGTCTGTTCTGTGTTTCTGTCGTGTTGGAGATGATTCATGTTAAACTTTTCAGAGATTATACGTCGGCAGGTCGTACACACAGACCTACAGAACTACACTTCACTGTTTAACGCGAAACCGCCTGAAACACTGGAAAGTTGCAGCAGCCGATTTCGAGCTGAGTAAGTAACAACTCAAGCAATGTGAGGTACCAGTATTAAACGGACTCATTTCTATTTAATGTATTTAGCGCCGTGGAGACCTGGCATCGTACGGTTTCTAAATGGGTAATAAACCAAGTATCAGTGGAAATCATCAGGTCTCGCTCTTCTCTCATCTATCCCAGAGCACATGTTAGGGGCTATAGTGTCTCTGCCGGACACTACCACATGTTACAACTTATACTCTGGAGCGACTTATAGTCCGATGCGGTTTATACTCTGGAGTAGGGATGGGCATTCGATGAAATTTTCTTAATCGATCGTCGGAAGAATTAATGATCGATTATCGATTAATCATTAACATTTTTATATTAAAATGATCATCATTATTATTACTATCTGCACTAATAATCTGCATAAATAAATTCAACTTTACGACATATAAACATAACGACTGTAGATCCACATCAGCTGTTTGACATTATAATGTGTTTAATTCAGTTTTGTTCAAATCTCACAGAAACAAAACTTAAAACCACATCACTAATTTACATAAACTAAGTGAAGATAAAACTCCAGCTCTTGTGTCGCTGATGTGGTTCAACTTGTGTTGGATTAAAAGACATGACTCAGGTGAATACAGGTCAGTGTGACCAGATTTGTGTTTGTCAAACCAGGACAGCGTACGGGGGGAGGGGGGCGGGGCCTCGTCATCCACATTGAGCGACTCTCACCTGGAAAAACTTTTTCCCACTGGACACAGAAACATATGTGCTGCTTTATCCACTGTGCACATGGACTCACACTTGTCCCAACGCAACGGAAAGTGTGGAATTTCTTCTACAAATCCTGGTTAAATCCACATTTGTGCTTCGGTTCGTTACAGACTGACCCACTGTTTGTGTCTCGCTCCTTCTGATGCAGAGACACATGTACACACCTGTTTGGTCACGACACACACAGTGACCTACATTCGGTTTGTCGAAAAATTAACGTAATCGATGAAATTCTTAATAATCAATTATCGATTAATCGACTAATCATGCCCATCCCTACTCTGGAGCAATTTATAGTCCAGAGCGACTTATAGTCTGAAAAATCCGTTGACATTTGACGTGTTTGTCAGAGTGACTCACGTTCTTCAGAGACGCTTCATGAGGCACAAACCCTGAGAGCATCTTCACGTCCAGGATCACCATGTTTGTGCTGTTCTGCTCTCCACCGTATCTGCACAACAACCGACAGGTCACAGTCACGCCTGCCGCACCTGCCGCACCTGCCTGAGTCTGCTGACAGGAGCGGGCGCAGAGGGCGTCATGTACTCACTCGGCCTGTAGGAGGAGCTGGAGCACCGAGCCGCCGCACTCCATCTGAGTCTCGACCTTCACCCCCAGAGTCCGGACCTCAGACGGAACCGGGACGTTATAGAACAGAGAGACCTGAAACAAAGAACTGAACCAGGACTGGACCAGGACTGGACCAGGACTGGACCAGGACTGGAAACCAGAACTAAACCAGGACTAATCCAAGGACTAACCCAGGACTAAACCAGGACTAGTCAGTGCCCCTGTCGCTCAGACTGACCTGTATGGAGGTGCAGGCGCTCCCTGTCACCTCCACACTGTACTGCCCCGCGGCGCCCCCCCAGAGGGCGCTCCTGGTACAGCAGCTTGTTGCTCGGCTCCACGGTGAAGGACAAAGACCCCTCTGTGGGCCGGTTCAGATCCCGGACCAGGACCGTGCTGGACCCGTCCGGACTGTAGACCACAGCAGAGTACAGGGACAGAGCCTGCAGCGCCACCACTGTGTCCTAAAGAGGAATTACACCTGAATCACACCACTGCAGTACTTACACAGTACAAACAGTTTACTACAAGTACTTGGAGTAGTAGAAGTAGTTGTGTTAAAGTAGTCTTAGTACTAGCAGTAGTAGTAGTAGTAGTAGTAGTAGTAGTACCTGAGTGGACTGGAAGCCTCCATAGGGGTTCTGTAGTAGTAGTAGTAGTAGTAGTAGTAGTAGTAGTAGTAGTAGTAGTAAGTAGTAGTAGCAGTAGCAGTAGCAGTAGCAGTAGTAGTAGTAGTAGTAGTAGTAGTAGTAGTAGTAGTAGTAGTAGTAGTAGTAGTAGTAGTAGTAGTAGTACCTGAGTGGACTGGAAGCCTCCATAGGGGTTCTGTAGTAGTAGTAGTAGTAGTAGTAGTAGTAGTAGTAGTAGTAGTAGTAGTAGTAGTAGTAGTAGCAGTAGCAGTAGCAGTAGTAGTAGTAGTAGTAGTAGTAGTAGTAGTAGTAGTAGTAGTAGTAGTAGTAGTAGTAGTAGTAGTAGTAGTAGTAGTAGTAGTAGTAGTAGTAGTAGTAGTAGTAGTAGTAGTAGTAGTAGTAGTAGTAGTAGTAGTAGTAGTAGTAGTACCTGAGTGGACTGGAAGCCTCCATAGGGGTTCTGTTGTAGTAGTAGTAGTAGTAGTAGTAGTAGTAGTAGTAGTAGTAGTAGTAGTAGTAGTAGTAGTAGTAGTAGTAGTAGTAGTAGTACCTGAGTGGACTGGAAGCCTCCATAGGGGTTCTGTTGTCCTGTGAGCCAGCGCACGATCTTGGAGGCGTAGCTCAGGTCCTCCACACCCACAGAGGGCGCCGTGAGGACGGAGAGGAGCACGTACGACGAGATCTCCACCGACAGAGAAGAAGAAGAAGAAGAAGACCCAGTGCACCTGACCACCTACACACAAGGACACAGATAATACTCCCTACAACTGTACAACTCACTCTTATGTCACAGATAATACTCCCTACAACAGTAGGGAGTCCCGGCCCTCGTGACGGTGGTGTTCTCACCTTCGTCTGTGGCTCGGGAGCTCAGTCTGTGGAGGAGCTGAGCGCGAGTCTCTGTGTCTCCAGCCAAACTGAACACATAGGCCATCAGAGCTGTGGTGTAGAGGTTCTCCAGGTTCTCCGAGTGGTTCTTCAGACACGAGAGGCTACGTTCTACCACCGAGTCCTGACCAGAGGTCACCAGGGTACACACGAGTCAATACAGGGTACAAGGTAGTAGTAGTAGAAGTAGCAGTACCAGTAGTAGTAGTAGTAGTAGTAAAAGTACTTACAGATTCTGTCATGTTCATCTCCAGAAAAGCAGCTGTGATGTAAGCGCTGAGGGTGACGTCATCGGACACTCCACCCTAAAAAACACACAGGACTAAACCAGGACTAAACCAGGACTAAACCTGGTCTAAACCTGGACTAAACCAGGTCTAAACCTGGACTAAACCAGGTCTAAACCAGGACTAAACCTGGACTAAACCAGGTCTAAACCTGGACTAAACCAGGACTAAACCAGGACTAAACCAGGTCTAAACCAGGTCTAAACCAGGACTAAACCAGGACTAAACCAGGTCTAAACCTGGACTAAACCAGGTCTAAACCAGGACTAAACCAGGTCTAAACCAGGTCTAAACCAGGTCTAAACCAGGACTAAACCAGGTCTAAACCAGGACTAAACCTGGACTAAACCAGGACTAAACCAGGACTAAACCAGGACTAAACCAGGTCTAAACCAGGTCTAAACCAGGACTAAACCAGGTCTAAACCTGGACTAAACCAGGTCTAAACCAGGACTAAACCTGGACTAAACCAGGACTAAACCTGGACTAAACCAGGACTAAACCAGGTCTAAACCAGGTCTAAACCAGGTCTAAACCAGGACTAAACCAGGTCTAAACCAGGACTAAACCAGGTCTAAACCAGGTCTAAACCAGGTCTAAACCAGGACTAAACCAGGACTAAACCAGGTCTAAACCTGGACTAAACCAGGACTAAACCAGGTCTAAACCAGGACTAAACCAGGTCTAAACCAGGACTAAACCAGGACTAAACCAGGTCTAAACCAGGTCTTCGGCTGGTCCCACCTTCATCCTGTTGTTGAAGAGTTCTCCTGATGGTCTGAAGCACCCGTCGTCCTTCTGTCGGCTCATGAGCCAAGTCCGGGACAGGGTGATCTTTGTTGGGTCGATGTAGACGAAGGCACGGGCCTTGGAGAAACACCGGACCACGAACGCCGTCAGCCTCAAACACACGAGGAAGAGGAGGAGGTGATGAAGAGAGACAAAACTAACACTGATGTCCTGTCACACACTGAAGTGACAACAACTCTCCAAACTTTCTCCTTCAGTGAGAAACTTTTACAAAACCAGAGCAGAGAGATTCTCCTTCTAACGGTTGTAAAAAACAAAAAAAACAGAGTAAATAAAGAGTCAGAGTCAGTCTTAGACTCTCTGAAACATAAAACATGATCTGTTTATTAGTGCACACAGTTACACATCGAATAAAATACTACAAATATTATATTTACAATTCGTCAATGTAATATTTGAAGTACTATTTGTGATTATTACTACAAATATTACATATTAAGTATACGATGATTACTACAAACATTAAGTACGTGATTATTACTACAAATATGAAGTACGTGATTATAAGTACTACAGTTGGTCGTGAGCCTACCACGTGTTGGCGTCTCCTCGGCCGAAGGCGCTGTAGCCTCCATCAGAGTGTTGGTAGTTCAGCTGTCTCTGGTATCCTGCAACAAAAACAACCAGTACAACCGAGTAGTAGTAGTAATAGTAGTAGTAGTAGTAGTAGTAGTAGTAGTAGTAGTAGT